AGTTTGAAATTTTAGACCAAATTCTTCTGCATCTTGACGCAAAGACAGATGTGTACCCCTAATTCATAACTAGAACTGCATCCACTGCCTGCTTCATGCTTTCAGTAGAAAACTGCCCCTTGTCGGATTTTCGCTTTCTTCCTCTCGATATTCTGCAATCTGAAAAAAAAAGAAATACAAAAATAAATAGACTAAAAAAAATTGTTATTTAGGAAAATATTAGTGAATTAAATTTCCAATTATTTTATTCGACGTAGCTCATTTCTGATAAATAAAATGGTTTATTTTTAAAATTAGTGTGTTTAAAAAGCAAGTTCGTAATGGGCTACAATGAGACAAAAAGTCTGTCTCATTGTGGCCTAATTTATCTGTCTCATTGAGCTATATAAACAGGTGTCACATGTTAGTTATAAAAAGTAACAGAATATCTGCTTATCTGGTTAATATTTTGTGATGAAATAGAGTGATGAAAAAACTTCTGGTGTCGAAAAACTACGAACGTCAAACAATCTGTAGTAGACTGATATCAGCCATTTGCAATGTGGAGTTATGGGTAAAGATGAAATTTATAGAATTGCTTATAGAGTGTAGCACCTGTCAATCCCCTCCTAAATTTAAATGCTTTAACTATCTCATAGTGGTCCGTGTCTCATTGTGGCCCACTCTACCTGCTCATTTTTACTTTAAGATACTTATACTTTGAATTTATTTTCTAACCAAAAAATGTTCAGTAATGAAAACTGAAATTTTAAAATTATAGTTGCTATGTTTTAAAAAAACTATTAAACATTGCAATCTCTGAAACTAATTTCTTGTGGCATTTCTCCACTATCTAGTAAGTTTATTTTGAATAAACTACAATTTTAGTTAAAATTACATTATTTTTGACTTTGACGTTCTTTTTTAAACTGATTTTTTGTTGAATAGCATATTCAACACCAAATATACTAGATATACAGGTTGCGCAAAGCCTCTGGCTTTCTTTTATTGCAGCTAAACTATGGAGTATATAAAAATATTTCAAACAAAACTAACGTATATCAAACTGACTATAACATCGTATCCGATCCAACTGTCGCTATAGTTATTGTTATTATTTAGCACATGCTTAATATTTATTGTAAGATGCGGTAATGCTGCTTTATGTTAAAACCACATGTTTCGTATATTTTACAAGTGAACATTATTTAACAATCCAGGCAAGTTGTCTGTTAACACGTTAATCGCCATGTGACCCAACATCTGAGTCTCAAAAAAATTATACCACCAGGCCCTGTGGCCCATATATGGGCTTCACGACTTGTTATCGTTTTCGACTCTGTGAACAGCCGTCTAGTTTTTGTTTTACATTGGTTCATGTGGGATATTAAAATAAGCCACCTTTTGGCCTGGAATTTTTCTATTTTTGGTTCGACTGATATGCATGACAAAATATTCACAAAAAAAAAACAAGTTCTTAAAGTTTTTATTAGTAAAATAAAATAATATAAAATAAATGTCCGTTGCGTTTCGATTTAATTTGAATCTCTCACCATTTTCTTACACGTGTTTCTGGGTCTACCTGTCATCAGAGAGAGTTTGTAAGGAGACTCAAACCAAATCAAAACCCACCGACTACCAAGGCAATTATAGGAAAATAATTACCAGAGTATGCTACTAGAGACCTCTAGTGAGGAAAGATGAAATTAAATATCGATAGCATTTCATGTAAACTGTATACCCAAGATTAATCAAGCCATTCAGATCGATGCTCGGAATATTAAAATTCTACTATGCATCAACAATTTACCCATATATATTACTATCATTTTTGTACTCATTGCGTCGAGTAAGGACAATAAGAAAATAAATGTCGGTTGCGTTTCGATTTAATTTGAGTCTCTCACCATTCACTTACACGTGTTTCTGGGTCTACCCATCCACCTCGTCGTTGAACTTTGATTGTGTTTGCTGTATGACAAGTCCTCAGAGTAAGTACTTCCCGTTTGTCTTGTCAGTTTAGGACAACCACTCTGTTATGTTCTCTAGCAATACCCTCTTCTTTTTTCAACTTCTTGGTGGTTACTTCTACGGGATTGAGCTTTCTGTTTTTTCTGAGGGTGCTGACTAGGTAAGTTTCTTGTTTTAGAAGCTCCTTTGCCAAACCAACGCTAGTATAGTAATTGTCCGTAAAAATAATCCTGCGTTGACGAAGAAGTGGTCTCATAAATTCGAGGACAATTTTTGCTGATGCGCTCATATTTGGATCCTTGTCATTTCCAGTGTAAACTTTCAGGTCGTATGTATATCCTCTTTTGCAACAAAGTTTGTACAGCTTTATTCCGAACTTTAAACGTTTATTTTTTATATACTGTTTGAACAGAAGACGACCTCTAATACGTAATTTTTTCAAAAATATCACCAGGAATAGCTTCTTCGTTATTGCTAACATGCAACAAACGCAGCCACATCTCAAAATGATTCCTGGACATCTTTTCGACTAATTTATTTGAATACAGTGGGCTTTTTATGCATTAATCTGTAATTTTAGGGTATTTTGCTAAGCCCATCCACAAAAAAATTGCAAAGAATGAGGTAAGTTGTTCCGCATCAGTGTCTTTCCCTATATGCAATCTAGAATGTTGCGTAATTCCTTTACTGATGCTTTGTTGCGCATAACGATTTGTTTCGGTTACTATAAGATTTACTACATTTTCATTGAAGAATATTGTAAAAAAAATCGACAGGAGTCTTACCCAGATAGAATTCCCTAAACTCCTCAGAGGGGCCTACGGAAGCTACGGAGAAATCAAATTTCCTTAGATATCTTCTTGTAACTGTAGACCAAGTCGCATCTTCTGTTATTACATCAGGATCATCATTGTCCAAGTTGTCATTATGGATAGTGCAATATTTCATAACAACTGCCTCTATAGTATCTTCTACAGACAAATTTATATCCGGCGGTTGAGAAATTTCTTTGGATGTTGAAGGAATGGCTCCCTCATGAACTTGACTTGCTTTTGGCTTAGATGAAATACTTTCTGGCCTAAAAAATAACTTAGATAATACTTAAAATAACTTAAAGATGGTAAATAATTTCTGCATACAATACAGATAAAAAAAAATTAAAATGTTACCGTTTGAATCTTTTATGCGGCCTAAAATCTTCATCTGAAGAATATTCACGGTGAGATTCAGGATTGTATCCATCTGATGACCCATCTTGAAAAGTGTCATCTTCCGATTCAGACAAAATTCCATTCCAAAGTTTTTGTAATTGTGCTTGATTTTTTTCGTAACCACCACTCATTTTCACTTTCAATAGAGCGTCCTCTCAGTATGAACAAGTCAAAACAAGTCAGGCAAATTAAGCCTAAATAATGCGTGAACCCTCGTTTGGGTCTCAGGGCCTCACAAACACATAAGCTCCGAGAACCAAACGTTGGTTCACATTTTAAAATTGTTTTTTTTTTTTATGTGAAAAAATATTTTAAAAATTGTTTGTCAAGTAATTTAAAGTTATCAATATAAATATCTCTAAAGAGAGTTTTGGCCTGAGTGGAAATCGTCCCCAAATAATCGACGGCCACCTGTTGTGGGACGTAACTCAAAATAAGTCAGTAATAATGATACCTGTTAAGGAACCTATTGTGAATCTATGAGTATGAAATGTCGATACGTGAGAAAATAAACTATTTTCCAAAAAATTTACGTTTCTATATTATATAACATTTATTCCGCTCACATACAAAATTCATTCTTCTTTAACCATCATTTTTATTTAATCCACTTCCCTTTAAATTTCACGATTTTTCTTAATGAAAGTATAAATATTTCAAAAATTATTTACTTTAGGCCTCTAAAAGTTATACAAACTCTTCATTATTTAAAAAATATATATTTAAAAATGGTTTATTATACAGGGTGTTCTATTTAGAAAAAAACATATTTTTGGTTCATTTCGTTGTTCCGTGTGACCCTGTATAATCGAAAATAATTTCAAATTATAGACATCTTTGATATACACATCAGTTTTGTTTAAAACATTTTTTATATTTTAGCCATTATCAAAGAAAGCCAGTCACTTTCCATGCTAGTCACTTTTTACATGGTCATCCTCTTCGGATCTTTCCTTCCCCTCTCAGCAGCGAGTCCCCACCTTCCATCTGCCATTCTCTCAAGATGGTCAAGGAGCATGCACATTTATTAAACTTAATTTTCTAGTTTTACCTCTTAGCCTCAGCCTACAAATCCGTTCAGATATTGGCTCGAACTCCACTGTTGCACTTTGTAACCCATCACTAATTATAACACCCGTTCCCAAAATTCGGTCTTCCTTACTACTAGTGAAAAAGCTATAGTTGTTAATCATTGTTAGACTAGTTCCCTTTTGTTTCGTTTCTTACATTACCAGGATATCCACTTTGTATTGTTTCTTCACTGACACTATATGGTTTAGGGCGCCGGCTTCCTTATTTTTCATGTTGCCTCTCTTGATAATCACTTCATGTCCTAGTTCATTGCCAGAGTTTCATAATCCTTTGATCCATTCCATCTGATCGGCTCTAGTTTGCTAGTGGGTCTAGCTCCCATAGTTCAGTTCCATCTCCATACTCTGTCATCTATTGTAACCTTCGGAAACACCTTTTTTACTGTTTTACCTTTTCTTCGGGCCTCTTGTGCTTTTTTCTTTATTTTCTTTTGCATTCGTTGCCCAGTTATTATAAAGTTATCGTTTATGTAATTTTTTTTCTTTAAATTCTTAATCCTTTAGTTTCTTTTATTTCTTATTAGATTTTCCTTGGTTTTTATCGCTGCAGCAAACATGTTCTCTCCCCTATCTTAAGAGCTGATTTAATCTTTACCTGTAAGGATTGCTCCATCATTTTTCCTAAGGCCGATTTCAGCACGTTCATTAGCGTTTACTTCCAAACCTGTTACGATCATGATATTTTTTTTTTCTCTTTCTCTAGGTACTCAAGTCTGGTACTCAATTTTCGAACTTTCTTTTTTGTCTGTTAACTTTTATTTCTAATAGCTTCATTTTCTTTCTTCAGCTTCTGTTTTTCTGCTCTTAATTCTTTTAAATCTTCTGCATAAACTATTTGCTTTCTTTTAATATCCTTCACGTCTAAGGTCAATTGTTTTAGTATCTCCATTATCTCGTCTTTCATTTCGACCCCAATTCCCTTTATTGGCATTAAATCTACCTTTTTACTTTTCTTAAAGACCTCCTTTTCACGCTCTTTATCTCTTCTTCGCATTCTCTTGTTCTCATCCGTCAGTTCGTCGGACGACCTTTTTACTTTTGCTCGGCTCTCGGTACTCAGTCGTTTCTCGAAGAAATCGTAAAGAGCTTCCGCTTTAACCGCTTCGAGAAAAAACTCTTATCCACATCTTTACTTAATAAGCCTACTTATTTTATTTATTAATTGTTTTTAAATCGATATAAAAAACTCTGTTTCACCAATCACCGTCTAACGCTGATTTTTACAATTTATATTTCGTATATCGATGCTAGCGATAGTCCGAAATTCGGATTTTAAATGACATAGATCTCCGTACACGATCTTTATGTTTGACAGTAGGCCATGGAATGAATATTATTTTTGTAATTAAATATAAAAATATTGAAAGTGAATTTAAAAGAAAGAAAGAAATGTAAACAAAACAATCATTTTATGATTTTGTAATTTGAAATCTTTGAAATCTTAAATAAAACTATAATGGAAGATATTGGATAATACTTACCCATATTTTTTGTGTTAAATTCGAACAGTGTTTTATTACACTTTGATATTGGTTGCACAGTAATCTTTTTAATATCTAGTATTGTATTTATCCTTAAAGTTAATTGCTTTAGACATACTTTATTAATGTTGTGGGTAGTTCACAGTGACATAAGTGGTACATGAGACATAAGTCACACAAATGGCCGTTCTTCTTAGGGTGCCTGTCAGTTCCGAACGTTGGCGATTATCTGGCTATGATGACTTTGTTGGTTGCTATACGAAATAGCTGTGTTGAGGTCTTTCTATACCATGCTCTCAGGTTAGTAAGCCAGGATATTCTTCTTTGTCCTTGGGCCATTTTTCCTTCAATTTTACCTTTTAAAATGCATTGAAGTAGCTCGTATCTGTGTTGATTTCTCAATACATGGCCTCAGTACTGCAACTTACCATTCACGATGTTGACCAAATCCGCAGTTGTGTTCGTCTTCCGCAGTACTTATTCATTGGTGACTTTGTCTATCCATGGTATCTTCAAAATCCTTCTGTATGACCATATCTCAAAAGCCTGAAGTTTTGATAGGGTTTCCGCCTTCAATGTTTACGTTTCTACTCCGTACAGAAGCACTAAGTACACATAACATTTAAGGAGTCTTCTTTTTGTTTCTAGGGTGAGGTCATGGCTCTTGAACACAGAACTTGCGACACTGAAATGCGACATTTCATCTCTTGGGTATTATCCTACGATTCATTGATTATAGTTCCCAAGTATTTGTATTGTGAGACTCGTTCAATTCTTATTTGGTTTACATACATATTTGCTCCAGTTATGTTTTCCTTGCTGATGATCATTAGCTTGGTTTTGCTGGTCTTTATATCCAGTCCATATTTTCTACTTGTTTGCGTTATTTTGTTCATTAAGTTTTGCAGTCCTTCCATGGTATTGGAAAACACTATTATATCATCTGCATACCGCAGGTTATTGAGCTTGATTCCATTGTGTCCAAGTGGCCCTACAGACTTCTAAAGTTCCTCTGTAACAAAAACTTTTTTTAAATATTTTTTATTCCTTGATCAAGGTACAGACATCCTTGTCTGTGAAAGTGTCAGTATTTAACATCAAAAAAATTGTTAAAGTTACAAAAGGATGTGATCCTTCACAATATAAATTGGCAACCTACCAATTTCGATGTGAAAAAGCAACAAGCATATTAAGCAAGTACAGGTAAATAATTGGTACAACGAACAAGCAATAAATAAAATTTTAAATCATAAACTATATAAGAAAGCCCTGAATTTAGTATTTCCACCACCAGAGAAAAAACTCAGAACCATCTCAATAACATAGGGTAAAGTGGGGTAAGATGACGAATCGGGTAAGATGACGAATTCTCGATATTTTTCCAACGAACAACTCTGGCAACACTGTCTTCAGTCAGGACCGAACAGATATTCTAAGGTTTCTCGCCTTTGACTACAAATACGTTAGCGGCCAGATTTTAGTATGATACAAGTGTTGGTACTGATATTGTGTTAGTGCTAACAATATTATTGTTTTAGAAAATAAGGTTTTAAAGGTTTTTGGTAAGTATTGGATAACTGTTGTATTTTTTGTTCGAAACTAATATCTTTTACGTATAAATTACTTACAGAAAATATTTGTTATGAATAATAAATTTGACTTTACGATTTTTAGAAAAAACATGACACTTGTGGGTAAGATGACGAGTTATTCGTCATCTTACCCGAATTAACTAAAATTAACAGTAAGTCATACCTACTTTCAATTTCAGATTTAAATATGGGCAAAATATACAAAAGAAAGACAGACAGACAATCTTGGTCGAAAGAAAATATAAAAAGAGCAATGGGTTAAATAACTGCTCATCAGGTAAGTGCCAATGCAGCCTCAAAAGCATATATTCCAGAACCTACTAGATCTGATAGATATAGATAAACGGGCATTTGGATTAACAACGGAACAGTTTAAAAAAATTGCTTTCGACTTTGCCGTTCATTGTGGTGTTGCTGATAGATTTAACACTACAAAGAAAATGGTTGGTAAAGACTTTGCACAATCCTTTTGCAGCATACTCACGAGCTTGCGAAGATTTTTTGATCAGTAATCCGGGTCGTCTTATAATATTGTATGGCATTGCAACCCTATTTGGAAAAGCGTACTTTAAAGCAGCAACTGTTTCAAATACTCTTAGTGGTTTTAGAGCCACTGGCATATATCCTGTTGATAGCCAGGTGTTTGATATAATTGATTTTGAGGCATCTTTGGTAATAATTTGGCAACTACCTCTGCTTTGGAAAATGTAAAGGTCGAAGAGGAAATGCCAGATATTTAAGGAATGTCACCAATATCTGTTTTAAAAGAAACAGTACCTCAAAAATCTGTTGAAATATCTGACGAAATTTTAGATATTTCTATTCCAAATATGCCTGTTCCATCTACATCAGGAATAGCTGGTTGGACACCCCCTCATGTATCAAATCATATATTGAATAATGATATGCCTAAATTACTCGTTGCTGAAGTGAGAGCAAACGACCCAGAAAGAAATTACCATCTCTCGTTATTTCCAGTACACCAACAGTAAAGATTTTAGAAGAAAAGGAAGCTCCAAATTAGCAAAAGAGAGGAAAAGGGATATAACAGAACAGAAGAGAATTGGAAAAGAAATAGAAGCAAAGACTTTAATTTTCAGCAAAAAATAGGAAATTTACTCTCGATAAAGGCAAAGGAAAAAGACTAAGAGAAAAATAAAATTTGACGACTCGTCTAACTCGTCAGTAGATATGGAATATGCTGACACTGATAACGATTCAGAGGAAGAAAGAGATTGCATAATCTGCAATGAAAGAGGAAAAGATGAGCTATGGTATTGCTGCAGCAGGTATAGGGAATGGGCTCACGATGAATGCACTGGAATGGATAGTCAAGAAGCAAAGGTAAAACAATGGACGTGTGATTGGTACTTTTAAAAATGTAGGACCTACTACAAGTGCTGCATTAGTTACAAAATAAATGCATTTTACTTTAATTTGTTTACTTTCCTGCCTATATATATACAATACAACAATACATACATATATATATATATATATATATATATATATATATATATATATATATATATAACTGTCTTTTTTCTTAGAATAGGCATACCTCGTCATCTTACCCTTCACAATTAGTCATCTTACCCTCCACGAAGGGTAAGATGACGAATATGACATAGGTAGATAAATTTTAAAATTTTAATTTGAAATATTAACCCTTACGTAATCTAATTTTAATATGTAAAGTACTACTATCAGCCAATTACCTTGTAGTTGCATGCATTCGATACAAGGAAAAATATCAGTTCTAGGATTTTTTTAAGTTTACTATCGTCATCTTGCCCTCCTTTCCCCTATACAGGCAAAATATCAACAAAAATAGCCAAACATAAAAAAGAATAACATCAGCTTTTATAACAAATAACAACTTATACAAATAAATTAAAAACAAAAAGAGTCAAAAGAAAAATCACTTATACAGTGGTGTATAAAAACTTAAATGTAGTAACTGCTAAAAACTTACATCGGTCAAACTGGTAAAACTTTTAATAAACGTATAGCAGAACATAAAAGGACTTTCAATAATAGAAAAAGAGATACTACGTACGTACTTATCCTTCTAGACCAAAATCATTCTTTTAATGACAAATTTTAAATGCTTCACATCCAAAATAAAGGCCCTAAACAGTCTTTATTAGAATCTATGGAAATCAACAAAATAAAATACACAGACATAGTTTTGAATGACCAATTTGAGACAAACAGTGCTTCTTTCTTCAACCTGTTTAGTTAAAGAATATAAAGTGTAAACACATACCAAAAATAGATCACCTGAGAAAGGCACTTTGCCGAAACAGCTGTAGTGATAAGAATTTAGAATAAATTTTGTGGAAGTTTTGAAAACAAAAGTTTTCAGTGTTTTATTGTTATATTAAATGAATTTTCATCAAGTAACGGTAGAATCCATCACTTTCTCAAGTGATGGAGAGATCTCAAGATCTGAGAAAAAAGTATTTCTTAAATCTCCTAGAAGAATTCAATTTTATAAAGAAATGCTTTCAAATATTCCACTTTTACCATAAACTCTTCTAACACGATGGGGAACATGGTTGAAGCCGCTTTTTTCTATTTAGGCTATTTCGTAGATTTAAAAAATATAATTGACTGATGAATTATGTGAATAGCAGATCAAAGTTCCCAATCTCTGATAGATGCTAAACGAATTTTTAAAAACAAGGTTCTTCAGCAGCAACTTTTATTCATTAAATCGAATTTTAGTTTGCTTTAAACCACTATTATTCAATTAGAATCATCAAAGTTGTCCTTGGTAGAACGCATATCTTTAATAATAGAAATTAGATCAACTTGCCAAAATGTTAAAAGTGACACTGGAAAAGATTTTTAAGATTTTTATGCAAAGTAGGTAGGTAATAAACTTAGAATCAAATATTTTTGTGAATTTAAAATATACTCCCATTACATCCGTTAACGTGAAAAGAAGTTTTTAATTAACAAATATATGTACACAAATAGAAGTCATACGTTTTTATTGGAAAATTTTGAAAAACCTTTGGTCATTCATTGTTTCCATAATTCTAAGGAATAGTATTTTACTTTTTACTACTTTAATTACAATTAACTAGTAAATTGTAATTACCTAATTAGCTTTTAAAATTATTTATGTTGTTTCCTAATAATTAAAATAAATAAAATAAACAGTTATTAATAAACATTATTAAATATAAGTTTCCATTCACAGAATGCATATTTTCTAAAAAAATGCAGATTTAAAGCATATTTTTGAGTAAATTAGTACATATTTATGGGCATATTTTTAACTTTATTGTTGCATATTTGTCTAAGTTCATTTATTACTTTCCCGATTAAAAAACAATCGAAATTTGTGATTTTGATTTCACCGATTCACTTTTTTGGTTGTTTACCCTATTATTGTTTATAACTTTAAAAAATCCCCCAGGCTCTCTTGGGTAATCGATTTCAATATTCCAAAATGTGTTTAAAAGCTTGAGTATCTCTTTATTGGTAAAAAAATCGACGATTTGAAATGCTTATTTTAAGAATAGCGTAATTTTGCAGATTTGCATTTTCATTACGACGTATTATGGTAAAACTCCATTTTTTGCAATTTTTTTTTCAATCTATTGCTATTTTTAAACAATTAACATTAAATTTTCATTTTTTAGCTAACAACATTCACAACATGGAAAAACAAAACGTTTTATTTCTATAATTTTTTTGTAGAAGAAATATCTCTAGATTTATAGGCAAAATATGAGGGCAAAAAATATAAATTTTCGGTGTTTTTTTCAAATTTTGTTAAATAAAAAAGTAAGCACCGTAACGAACTATTTTGCTTACCTTAGGGTAAGAACATGGGAGAAAAGATTAGACAAACAAAATAGTCGAAACTAGTGCGTACGGCACTCAGAGGGTTGTTGGAGAGCTGGGTCGTGGATAAGTTGAAATAAATTTGGGTCGGATTGGGGTTTCTACTAAACGAAAACGAAGGGGTACTTACATAAATCTCCTGGGTCATAAACGAATAAGATATGGCAGACAAATTTACCTCTAGCTATTTTCTTTTCGGACGCCGCTTTAAAAAAACTTCCTGCTGTAAAAAGTAAAAAATTCTTCTTCCCTACAATCAAAATTACATACAAGGATTAGGAGACTTTTCTAAATTAAAACACAAAATGGATCAGACAAACAAATCGAACGTGTATTCTTGTCTCAAACAAACAGTTTTCAAAAATACATATACAAGAGCATAATATATAACAAATTAACAAAAACTTAGGTGTTATTTGTTTACAAAAGAAATGGTTACAAAAATTCTTGAAATGGTTCCTAGGTTATAATATGGCCAATTTAGATTATCAAAAAAAAACTTATGGATATCCTTTTTATGAAAATACTGTAGAATTTAACCTTATATATGAAATATCTTTTATATATAATAATCAAATTGAAATTGTTTTACAACAACAATGGATTAGAGCAAATGTCATATGTCAACAAAACATTTTAAATCAGAATAAAATATGACATTTTTAGCTACAATTCGTAACATAATATAAAACTTTAATTATTACAAATTGTTTTATTTTAATGAAAGCAATTATTAAAATGTTTATATAACTTGGAAAATATAATATATTGAAAGTTACCTTAAGTTCATATATTGCACTTAACTTTGAAAAAGAAAAAACTTACTAAATCCCTGGGAAAGCTACTTGGACATATTCTTTAACAGGAATAAGAAAACCATTTCCATATTCAGGAACGACGATCAAATCAGGCAGGCGAACAACAAAAGGCCGGTGGGGACATCCTATATATCAATATTTTCAAAAATTACCAGTATCCATTCAAATCTTCTAATGACTAACTACTCTATCAAAAGTACTTATGCAAGAGTATTATCATTTTGACTGGTCCTTAAAACATTACAAAAAAAAACAATTAAATCAACTTTTTGATTCAAAATTGCCCCAACATTCTATATCCGCAAAAGCGTCTACCTAGCTTCAAATCTATTTTTCTGCTCTGCTTTAAACTTAATCGTCGACCCCCTTAGGTTGACTCTTTACTGCCTTACATTCTCTAAATTCGATGCCACAATAACTCACCCTTTTCTCCGCAGTTAGTCCGTCATCCACAAACTTAAAACAAACAAAATACCTCGGACCCTCGTTCTAAACGACAAAAACAACTTTAAAATATTCCAGCTTATTGCGTTTTGAACGACGAAAGACAAATAAAACCTTCCACTTCCGCAGATTTTAAGCCATGAGTGTCTTGTCCTGCCTGGCCCTTCCTTACTCTCTATTTTCCCCTGTACAATCAATTGCAGTAGACGGTACTTATCGTGTCTCAATATGTGACCTAGATATTCAAGCTTTCTTTGTTTAATTGTATTCACGATTTTTTTTTCGATTCTTTGGATTACATCTATGTTGGTGATATGTTCGGTCCAGGATATACGAAGAATACGTCGGTACACCCACTTTCGAATGCTTCTAGTTTTCTCGTGGGCGTCTCTGTCAGCGTCCAGGCCTGTCAGAACGAAATTCATTTGGATTTCCATATTAACAACTTAAATTGGTGTCGATCATATTAAATAGCTCTTAAAAAGAGCTAATACTTAAAGCAAACTTTTAAATATCGTTAAATAGCGAATAGTCTTATATTTGGCGAAAGATCTTATAAAAAGCCATTTTAATGGGTAAAATAATCGTCGGAGAGGACCAGGTCGCAAACAACAGTTCAGAGACATAAGAAACTGTGCAACATACCTGATATCAGTACATTATTAAGAAGACTGAACGCCTATACGCTGAATAGCGTACGGCACGAGAAGAAGAAGGTAATTTTTTATCCTTGTATTATTTTTATATTGTCATTTGTTATGTAGTTCAACAAATGTAAGCTTACATATTTCTATTTCTATGTATGCTTATAAAGACTTGTGTTATAAACTAAGGTTAGTAAGCCAATTGGCTTACTGTTCATCTTTCATTTACTTGTAATGTCCATTTAAAAATTTAGCTTATTGTACCTGTTTGTATATGTCTAGTTAATTGGTACAATGTGTTTTTGGAGTCACTAAGCAGTCTCCAAAAAGTGTTCTAGGCCACAGAGTTTGCAGCTTAAGTCTTTATGAAACAGCACCACCTATTTAGACCTTCTCCTCAAACATTAATGGGAGAAACTGATGTTTAATGAACATGCTGTAATTTAAGTTGCTATTTTAATTTAAGATATTACTTTATAAATAATTTTAAGAATGTGTACACTATATTAATAAATAATTGTGTGTAATAAATATAAAAATCTAAGCTCATGCTAAATTTACATCTCACCATTTGGTTTTAGTTCTGGAAATATAACGGCAGAATTAAATGAGTTTTTGGATAAAGTTTTGGAAAACGTTGGAAATTACATTATAAATCATGGATATGATCCATTCCCAATACCAGATACAGTTTTAAATGTAAGTTTCTTTCTTTCTTTTAAAATTGCATTAAGCGATTAAATATTTCAAACTACAATATAAAGAGTATAAGATGTGAAAAAAAACTATAAGTATTTTAAGAAATTTATGCTTTTGCTACCCATATTTTGTAATGGTACTATATAATAATTAAAGATTCATGTACAATATTTGAAATCTTTAAAATAATTTCAGAGTTATTAGGACTGTATAAATAGGGTTAGATTAAAATAACTAGAAGAAGTAATTAAATTCTATACGGACAATAGTTTAATTAAGTTTATAAAAACTCTTTCCAATATCACTGTAGTAATATACACTCATGATAGAATCATAAGCAAATATAACAAACGGTGTCTTTTCATATGAGTTCGATTTGTCTTTAGCGAATTCACATGTTCACGTCACTATTTCTGTTTCACTAGTCTTTATCATCGATAGAGGAGAAAAAAGTGTCTGTTCTCACGGGAACCAATAGGTAAGAGAGGTGGATTGTTTTATTTTCCCAAAAAGTCGGTATTTCTTGAGGGTAGGGGTAAAGTCAGGAATAAGAATTATTTCGAAGGGTTGGCTTAAGTAATGATTTTGAGATTGATATTGAAGTTGGCGACGTGCAAGTACTTGGATGTGATACGAGAAACGATCGTGCGCGAGTAGCGGAGAAATCTTGCATTTTTTACTGCACATTTCATAGATTTTATAAATTCATATTGTCAATGATCATATTTCATACTCGTTTGTTTATTTACACCTTCTGTCACTCAAGAAAATGGGATTTAGGAAGTGCTGTGTTATAAATTGTAAAATTACAACAAAAAAAATACATTGTCAATTTAAGCTTTATTCGTTTCCAACTTCGAAGCACAAATTACTACAAAGAGAAAAGTGGATTTATATAATAAAAAAGCATAAGTAACATAACCTAGATTATGCAATATTCTTGCGCCCGATTTTAAAGTCAGTTTGAAATAAATAATAAATAAAAGTTCACCTTTAAGTGTAAATTTTAGTTTCATAACACTCACTTAAAGTTCATTTCAACCCAAAAATCAAGTTTATTGTTAAAATTTTATTTTTTTGAAGTTTACAAAAATGCATCAAGTTCAAGTTTTTCTGAAGATGCATTAAGATATATTCGCTGTCCAAAAGTTTACAGGGAAAGAACTAATTGTTCAAACCAATATGACGATATCATGGGCTTAACCTGCTAATTTATGCATTAGCATTATTTATGGTAATTTATTTTTCTTAATTCTTCCACATAATTCTTCCATTCTTTTTTGACATTTGCCACTACTAAAGCTTTTCCCTTTATCTCAGTTTTATTATTGCATCCATATTAACAGTAATGCTGTAATTTAATAATATATTTATTTGTATTTACACTACATACAACGTTTACCTTTTAATAACATACCGACATAACCTCAATCTTATTTTTTCTTCTTATTCTTTTTTGGGGCTACGTCCTTGACAGTTCGGTAACCTCGATCTAACATGAAAGCGCAGTAAATTTTGCTGATTTACGATACCAGGTGTCGCTGTTCCGAACTTGCACGGTCCCACCGAAAAATATAGTTGTGTTTTTCGTATGTGCAAAATTTAACAAGTATATTGCTCTCGGGTTCTATAGGGCGCGATATCGAAATGTTTTTATAAAATTTAGCCTGAATATAATACTTTAGGTTTAGCAAAAATATTGGGTCTCGTAAGTAAAACGTATCAAATTGTTCTACTTCAAATTTTATGGAATTGGCAGTGATAGAACGAGCTACGTTAGGAGTTTCTTTGACATAATATATAAGAAAGCAAGTCGGTGTGAACTAGAACGAAAGTGGAGGATGTAATTGTAAAAATCACGCAAATAAAATGGAACTGGGCAGGACACGGGGTTCGACAAGAAAACTAAAGATGGACGAGAAATATTATACATTGAAGACCGCCTTAGCGGGTGGTCAAAGCAAAAGTGGGAATAACTGGCATCAAATAGCACAAAACTGAAAAGAGAACTTATGGTGGTGTTTTATAAAAGGATCGCAATGTGGTATAAAATGGATGAATGAGGGATTTGTTAAATATTTGTGACTACCCCCATTTAACACTACATGTATTTCTGTATAAATAGGTGACTGACTATGTTTAAATTATCATTCAATACAATAACAATATATCGGTATCGGAGTCCGACCCTGGCAAGGTTAAGTTGTACTGATATTGTACTCCTAGTTTTTAATAGATCAAGTGATTTTATTAAATAGTTTTTTAAAATTAAAGTGTTTATCTACTAGATAGTCAAATAGTTTAAAAGAAAACGTCAAATAATAAATATACACAACCGTACAATCATTTTGTGAGGTTAGCTGCTATAAGTAGCTTATAGTACATGCGGTTGGTTTGTCACCTTCGCCGCCGCAGCTTAAAATGACTTTACATAATGTAAACACACTACAAACACACACAAACATCTAACCAGTCCAGTAAGTCAACGTTCGAATATCACAAACAGTTATGCATCAGTCGCTTAACATTCTTTTCCAAGTAAGACCCAAGCAATTGTATTTAAAAAAAAAAAGAGGTTAATCTTTGTAAATGGGTATATTTATTTAAAAAACCCTTAAAAGGGCCACATCAATAAAACAAACGTTTTCGGACCACACAGTCCATCATCAGGTTATTAAAATCGAAAATGCTAGGTCACAATGCCTGAGCCACCAAAATATTAGGGTAAAAACCCTTTAAATTACATTTAGTTATGAAATATTGTACATTGTGTTATAAAATAACTGTGATGTTCAGTATTAAATTAAATATGACTGTAGGTAACACATGGTTCAATTGGGTTCCAGAGCCGGTGAGAGGAAACCTCTGCACTCGGAGAACAACGTGGAACTCAATTCCACGATATCGGAATAGATGACAAGGATATTCGTGTCATTAAAAATTTGTACTGGAATCAAACTGCTATCGTAAAAATTGAAGATAACTACACCGATGACATCTCCGTACAACGATGAGTCAGACAAGGTTGCATTTTGTCGCCAACATTGTTCAATGTTTACTCAGACCAGTTATTTAAAAAGGCACTTGAGAGACAACCATATGGAATAAAAATCAACGGGGAACTACTTAATGTGATGAGATATGCAGAAGATACAGTAATTCTGTCAGACAATATTGAAGGTCTCCAAATTCTGCTTGATCATATTGGGGTAGGAGAGGAAATGGGCATTAAAATAAATTCAAACAAAACCAAATTTTCAGTGTTTAGTCGTGATCCACATCCCGATGCAAAGCTTCAATTAAACGGAGTCCAAGTTATGATAGTTCACAAAATGACATATTTGGGGATTGTGATAATGGACCAACTAAATCCAGACATAGAAATAAAACGTAAAATAGCAATGACTAACTACTTTTATGGACTTGCAGTTATTTCTTGGCAATAATCATCTCAGTCTAGAACTAAGACAAAGAATGGTTAAGTACTATATTTGGTCCGTACTTTTGTATGCTGTAGAAGTGTGGACGATAAAAGTATTGACCATAAATAAAATTGAAGCATTGGAAATGTGGGTTCATAAACTAATGCTGAAGATACCTTGACAGCAAGGAAAACTAATGAAGAAGTACTAAGGAGCGTCAACAAAGATAGAGAACTGCTAAACACTGTTAAACATCGAAAAATGTGTTATCTGGGGCATATAGTAAGGAGAAGTCGATATAAAATATTACAACTGATCCTTAAAGACAAAGTAGAGAGCCGTAGAGGTGTAGAAATATAACAAGTCTTTTGGTTAAAAAAAATTCGTCATTGGACTCAAATGCAGGACAATTATACCATATTTCAGAAGATCGAGAAGCCTTCGCAATAGTGTTCGCCATCGTTGGATAATCCTGATATGGCACGCGAAGAAGAAGATGGTATTTGCTATTTGAAATTAATGTTTACAAATGCAGTACTTATAATGTATGCTCTTATGGTACACGATATTTAAAAAACATTTGTTCTTAATTTACAGCTTCCAATAACAGGATCCATTACGTTAAAAAAGGGATGGTTACGTGATCTGTCCATGATTAAAAGATACAAAGATACTGATGTAATTTACAGTTCAGCGGAGAAGAAACTTAAAATGGTATTTTCACTACAATTTCAAGAGCTACAGGTAGGTTTGTAATATAAATTATAATATATCAAACTAAACAAATATTGTTTCCATGGTGAATTTGGTAAATACTTCTTTACAGTTAATGTCCATTAAAAATTGGTTTATCAGGCCATTTGCTCTCATGGCCCAGAAGCACTTAACTTTTTTATGGACATTTTTACATAACTGTAAAGAAGAATCAATTAAATTCACCATCGAAAAACAAGGATATGGGATATTAAATATATATACATATATATATATATATATATATATATATATATATATAATATATATATATATATATATATATATTTATATATATATATATATATATATATATTTATATATATATATATATCTATATATATATATATATATATATATATATATATATATATATATATATATATATATATATCTATATATTTAATATATGTTGTTGTATATATATATATATATATATATATATATATATATATATATATAATATATATATATACAACAACATACAACAACAATAAAAATGTTTTTCAGGTACTTACAAAACTTTCTAAAAAAGATTTTAATTTAAAATAGTTATCCATTTTCATTAATAAACAAGGAATTCCCCAAGATTGCAAAACAAGACAACAAAACACCAAAAACATCATCATTTAAAATAACCAACACACTGAGATCTGTTCTTGTTAAAACAAACAACTTAACAACAAACAGGAGAGATCAAAGAAGTGCATTTATAAAATACCTTATAAAGCAACAGTTTTTATCTTGGAGAAACCTATACCCTAGAATACTAACGTTTCTTTAAAATACGTAAATGCTAACCATACGTAAATTTTACGTACTCGCTGATTTAGGTCTAGTATTTTCTTTTTATTTCATATCTAATTAAAACAAAATGCTTTAATTTCAAGAGAAGTTTATTTAGGAAAGATACAAATAAAAAACATTGAAATATTAATAATCTAAACATAAACAATATAAATTATATACTTTTGACAGAACAGAAACTTGTAATAATATATACATTATAAACCATGACACTTTCCTTCTTCCTATCATAGTTCCTCCTCTTAATTTTCCTGTATTATCAGCCTTAGCAGTTCATATCGCTGTCCCCTTATTACGTGTCCCATATATTGTAACTTTCTTATTTTTATTGTGTTTATTATTTCGCATTCTTTGTCCATTTCTCGCAAACTTCTCCGTGATAGTTTTCTTCTGTGTCCATTCTATTCTAAGCCTCCTCCTGTAAAACCACATTTCAAAGGACTGTAATTTATTTATGTATTCTTGCTTCAATGTCCAGCTTTCAAGTCCATATTACAGTATCGAAAACACGTAGCATCTCAGTGCTCTTACTTGCAGTTCTAATCTAAGGTCTTAGTCGCAGAGAATTGTTTTCATTTTTACAAACGCATTTCTTGCTATTTCTATCCTGGCTCATATTTCGGTTGTTTTATTATTATTGTCTGAAATCCAGGTTCCTAGGTATTTGTATTTTATCAACCCTTTCTATCTGTACATTTCCTAAATGTATGTTTGTTGGTATATTTGTTTTCTTTGTTATTATCATGTATTTGGTATTTTTTATATTCATTTTTAGTCCATATTTTTCACAGAAACTGTGTTTTGTTTAGTAGTAATTGAAGTTGTTCAGCAGAGCTTGCCATAATCACTGTATCATCTGCATATCTTATGTTGTTAATAGATTTTTCGTTAATTATTATTCCTTTACTTTGAGATAGTAATGCTTCTTCAAAAATGGCTTCACTATATACATTAAATAGTAATGGGGACATCATACAACCCTGCCTAACTCCTCTCCTGATTTCAATTTCTCGACTGGATTTGATATCTATTAAAATTTGTGCTCTTTGATTCCAGTAGAGGTTTGTTATTATTTGTAATTCCCTATGGTCTATGTTTTTTGTCTTTAGAATTTGGACTAATTTTTCATGTCTTACTTTGTCAAATGCTTTTCCAAAATCAGCGTAACAAACATGCACGTCAATATTCATATCCATGCATCTTTGAGCTAACACATTAAAAGTAAATAGCGCTTCTCTAGTTCCTAGTCCGTTTCTGAACCCAAACTGACTATCATCTATTCCTTCTTCCAGTTTTTTATTTATACGACCATGTATTATTTTCAAGAATAATTTGAGAATGTGACTTGTTAGTGATAATGTTCTGTATTCAATAAAATATTAAGCGTTTGTATTTTAGGGATAGCACAAAAGATGGAGAGTAACCATTGTTTCGGTATGGGTCCTATTTTGTATCCTGAGTTAAATAAGTATACTATAATGCCTAAGGTTTCATCATTTATGCATTTTAAGATTTTTATAGCGATTTGGTCTGGATCTACTGCTTTACCATTTTTGCTGTTTTTTAATGCCATTTTAATTTCCTCTTTTAATATGTTTAAAACCATATCCTCTTTTACTTCAATCTCCATCTGTTTTGTTCTATTGTCTTTGAACAGTTCATTGATGTATTCTGTCCATCTCTTTAATTGGTCGTTAGTATTCAACACAAGTTTTCCACTTGCATTTTTCAGTATTCCCAGCTTTCTTGTTCTATTGTTGTGAGTTAATTCTATATTTTTTTATGTGTGTTAAAAGTATCATGTCTTTTCTTGTATTTTTCTATTTCTGCGCATTGTTCCATTAACCATTGTTCTTTCGGTTTCTTAATTTTGTATTTTACTTGTTTATACACTTGTTTGTACATCTGATTATCTTTGTTTTTACATCGACGTCTTTCTTCCATTAAATCTAAAATTTCTTCCGTCATCCATTGCTTCCTTTTAATTTCTGGTTGGTATTAGAATTTCTTATTGACTTTTATCTATTTCTGTCTTTATTAATAACCATTTTTTATCCGTCTCAGTATTTTGCGGAATTTGTTCTTTAACATTCATTAATCCGTTGTTGACTTTATCTGCCAGGCGTTGCCTTATGAGTGGGTTCCTTAATTTACTTGTATCGATTTTTTCATTTGTTGTTCTTCGTTTTATTATTTTTATTTTGAGCCTAATGTTGGTCACTACTGGGTTGTGATCTGATCCTATGTCAACACTTCGATAGGTTTTTGCGGATATAATTATATAATTGGGTATCTTTGTCTAACCAATACATAGCCTATTTGGTTTTTTACAATTCTCTCTTCTTGATCTGCTGGTGACTTAATGGTATATAGTCTTCTCTTTGGCACTTTGAACAATGTATTAGCTATAACAAAATTAGTGTTTTGGCGAAAATTCGATAAGCCTGTCACACCTTTCGTTTCTGTTGCCCAGACCATATCCCCCTGTAAATTCTTCTACTTTTTCTTTCCCAACCTTTGCGTTAAAGTCTCCCATTATGATTGTTATATTTTGCGTTTTAATGGATTTTAAAATGATGTCTAAGTCTTCGTAAAAACTTTCAATATCACTCTCTGGTTTGTCCGCAGTTGGAGCATAAACTTGTAGGATGTTTATATTTTGGGTTTGTTCTGGTTTAAACGTAAGGATGTTTGAGGATATCTATCTATTATTGCATCCAGTGTTGAACATAGGCCTCTCTTTTGCTCCTCCGAACTTTTCCATCTCAAGTCGTATATCCGTCTCGATCCGGCTATATCTGGCTTTTAAGGTTATTTATTTATATCCTCTTTGGTCTATATTATTTTTGTTTATATGTGAATGATCAACATTCCGTAATAATTATATCGTTTCGATATCTAATAGTGTATTTAAAGTAAAATTTTTAAGTATTGTCATTCGGCTGGTCTAAAAAGAAGCTATTGCTACTTTTGCAGATAAACCATAGATATATTCTTCCATATGAAAGACTTATGTTGATCATTTTTCTTTTCAGCACACTTTGTTTCTTCTATATACTGTTGATATTTCTTAATTACTAACTAATCTTTAGTTATAGCTTACGGCTTATACAGAGCCACAAGTGATTTCATGACTTTTTATTTCAGCTTTCAGTTTTTAGTCTTTTATTACCAGAATTACTTGTCATGGTCGTTGTTTTTATCTGATGGTTTGTTCTAAATAAGCAATGATTCTAAAAAGTCTTACCTTTTTTGTCATGTATCTTATCTTTTCTCTAAAAGAGATAGACAAACATACGTCGAGCGATATTGAAGAAATACATGCGTTGAGCGATCTGATAGAGCATTGCGGTTATTTTGATAAATAGTTATATTTATACAAATATGAAGTACGAAAGAAGATAATTAGTTAACTAGTAAGTTGCTATAAGTAAGTTAATAAAATGCTTTGTAAAAGCATTACATTTTTGCAAAATCGATGAGAACGCTTTAAAAAAAAATGCCAAGAAACAAAAAGTGTTTATTTTGCCAAACTCACCTAACAACAAGGGTTTCCAATAGCTGTACGAATAAGTAGTTCGCCTTAGCGAACTTTGCTGGTTCGGTGAAAGATTTTTTCTTATCGCACAAAGCTTCTGAGGTACTCCTTAGCTTCGAAGGGCCAGCTGGAGAATCCAGCACCTAAAAGGTTGTTCCCTTGACAAGAGATAGGTGTAAATATTAAATAGGTAAAGCCTTAAAATGTATCTTTATTACATGAAAAAACTAGCCTACATTACTGTAGAAAATAGCATTTATTAAATGTAGAAAATAAGTTTATTGTTTATGGATAACACTAGCTGTTTAACTTGTATAACATGGCTAACATGTAAATTGAAATCGTTGTTGGATCGGAAGTCGTTTATACGCACTCGCGGCGTTATGGCAACACCGCGACTTGAAACAATTGAAAAGTTGAGAGTAAATATAAGTTTGCTACTTACAATAAGGCACAGCATCTAACTCTTTTTACCCCATGCACTCACTGCCAACAATACTGGCCACAAAAACTAGATAATAGGAAGATATTGTTTTAAGAAAATGAATTTGACTGGTCTCAAGCTCTTGCTTGTAAGACCTTTTCGTACGACGCTTGCTTGGCGACTTTATGGTTTTAAGAAACTTGTTGGTCTTGTTAATAGTTTAGGGCCGAGAATGAACTGGTTTTTGGGACTAGTCCAAGTTTAGATATAAGGGGAGTTTTTAAATGAAAATATAAGATTTCTACAATGTACAGATTTATGGAAAATTTGTACAATAGCTTTAGTTTTTACTTTTTTCAATTTTGCAGTAAATTGCTAATAACAAAGATTTACGCAAATTACATAAGAAATCGATTTCAATTTGTTTGAATCAGTCGTCTTTTCCAGGAAGTTTTTTGATTTTTTATCCATCTTTTTAGAGGTACGCTGTTTGCCTGAATGCATATACAAACTATATTTTACCGACGGTAAATCAGACTTGTATCGATTGTGTAGGCTTATTTGATTGCGCTCCACTATGCCTTCGAAAAGGTGGTTAGGACACATCAAAGTATGCCGAATACACGAATATCAAAAAACATCCTAATAATAAATAATAACGATGAAGAGAAGAAGGGGAAGACCAAAGACCAAAAAGTAGATGGAAGATCAGGAAGTTAATAAATACATTAGGAATAGATAGATGGAAGCACAAAGCGACCGACAAAAAGAAATGGGAAACAATTACTATCCACTCCACTGGCCTTAACCTCTAGTGCTATCTTCATATATTCTTAACCAGAAGTAACAGTAGATTCACTGAAAAGTTTAATTATTTGGAAAATATAAATAGTTACAATAAAATACAAAATAATATATTGAATTGAAATAATAATTGTTTTGAATGGTATATTTCATATAAAGCACATCGGAATTTTTAAAAACTTTAAATGTGATTATCAGATTATTTCAAATCGGTATCAAAAAAAAAAATAGAGTGTCAGTGTATGTAATTACACTCTTAAGCTAGTTCTATCTAAGTAATTCTCAAATAATTGTTGCAGTTTGTTTACAACTACATTACAAACTACCTTCTGTTAACAATAAAGGGCGATGTGGAAGGAAAAATTGAGAACGTAATAATAGAAGCAGCATTAAATTTTGATTTTAACACCTACAATGCAACTCTTGACAATTTTGATATTATGAATACAGGGTAAGTAATACATTTTAAATATAGATAATCTGAAATTACCGTACTATAATTAATACTTTCAATGTTATGACTATTTTCAATGACATTTATCAACCTGTTTTCGTTTAAAATATTAAAAAGCAATCCATCAACTGACTCATGTTATTCTTCTTCTGCGGCAGTACAGCCCAAATTGAGCATTTAGTGCTCTTTTTGGTAGCCTATCCTCTTCCATTCTTATCACATGTCCGGCCTATTGCAATATTTGTATTCTAATGAACTCTGGCAGTGGTGCCTCCTTATAAAGTTGATAAAGCTAGTTGTTTTATCGACTTCTGAAGATTCCGTTTTCCCTCACAGGTCCTAGTATTCTCCTCAGTACTTTACTTTCGAATGGATCGAGTTTGCTTTTGGATGTTTCTTTCAGAGCCCATGCTTTACTGCCATAGCATGCTATTGGCCAAAATAAGTTCTGTTTGCCTGCGTTATTCTCTTCTGTATTTTTCCATGTTCTGATATGTCGGCATATATTTCTACTCCCAGGTATGTAAACTTTCCAACCGTATCAATGTCATGTTCATGTATAATATTTTGTGGGACTATATTTCTTCTTGTCTGTCTCATTATTTTTGTTTTTTTCTGTGTTAATTTCCAGAACTAGCATTTTTGTTTACGTTTTTAACTCTGCGTATGTCTCCTGTGCTCCTGTTGATGTTCTACTTATAATATTAATATCATCGGCATAAGCGCCCAGTTGAACCAGTAGGTTTCTTCGTCCAGTTTGCATTTGCCTAACCGCATACTCCAGTGCCAGTTTAAACAAAGTTGGGGCCAGCCCATCTCTCTGCTTTAATCCCTGCGAAATTTTGAAAAAAAGTCTATCCGGTGATTTTGTATTCGTACACATGCTTGGAGTTTCATCCATTGTGGCTTTAATGTGTCTAATTAGCTTGTGCGGTATTGCTAATGCAGCCAATATATTGTAGAGTTTATTCCTTTTGACTAAGTATGCCTGTTTGAAATCTACAAACACGTTTTGAATATCAATGTCATGTTCCCATGATTTACTCAAGATCTGTTTAACTGTAAATATTTTATCCAGTGTCGATCTTTCCCGTCGGAAGCCCGTCTGATACTATCCAATAAATGTGCTAGTGGTTGGAGACGCTGGAACAGACTCATATTGCTTGAATCAATTTTTCATTTAAGTGTTTAGTTAGTTACTACTTTAAATGGGAATAAGCCACAATTAAAGTTTAATATAAGCTCTACAAAAATATGACGGCAAACATTAAAACTGGAAATAGATTAACTAGAGAAATTCCTATTAGTAAGGGCCTAAAGCAAGGCTGCTGCATAGCACCTACACTCTTCAAAATATATCTAAATGAGGCACTCTCACTGTGGAGAAGAAAGTGCTGCAATATGGGCATCCCAATCGGAGATGATAGATTGTACACGATACATTTCGCTGATGACCAAGCCATTCTAGCTGAAGACGATAGTGATATAAGCTACATGCTTAGAAAACTGGAAGATGAGTACACCAAATGGGGCCTCACAATTAATATACAAAAAACTGAGTACTTAGTTGTAGCAGAACAACCAGAAAGCCTACAAATAGAAATGGGAGCTATAAAACCAACAGACAATTTTAAGTACTTGGGAGTCCAAATAACATCAAAAGCAGGAAGTAGCGAAGAAATACATTCCAGGATTGGCCAAGCAAGATCAGCCACCAGACAGCTACACGGACTATTGTGGAATAAAAAAATAACAAAAGAAAATAAAGAAGAATTTATAAAACAATAATAGAAAGTATTGGACTGTATGGCGCCGAACTCTGGGAAATAAACCAAAGAAACAAATCAAAAATTAAGGCCATGGAAATGAACTACTGGAGACGATGTTGCCAGCTCACTAGACTAGATAGGGTGAGAAACGAAGATATTCGGAGAGAAATGGAAATCGATCTTGACATAATAGACACAATCGAAGCCAAAAGACTTAACTGGTATGGACACCTTCAGAGAATGCCGGAAAATAGATGGCCAAAAAAAATAGAAGAATGGACTCCGCCAACTAGAAGAAAACGAGGTAGACCAAGACGATCCTGGAGAGACGATGTCGACGATGCAATGACCGCCAGAGATCTAACAACTGAAGATTGCTTCGACAGAAAACGCTGGAAATTAGGATGCGAGAATCGGCGCCAGCTGTAGAAGACTCGCTTGTTATATATATAATATATATATATAATATATATATATATATATATATATATATATATATATATATATATATATATATATAAGTTTATTTTTGACGTTTTGGTTTTTGTTTAGTTAGTGTTTATGCTCTTTTTCTTTTGCATCTTTTTTTCATATTAAAGAAAGATAAGTTACTTATTTTTTCTTATTCAATGACTAACTAGAAAATATAAAGTATAATTTTTTTCTTTTAGATCTATCGACATTCACTTTTCTGGAAATGATTTAATTGACTGGTTAACCAATATGATGACAGGAGTGGTGACTGCGTTTTTACATCCACTTATTTTATCGATAATTCAAAATGTTTTTAAAGGTACTTTGAGTGATCTTGTCGATGCTGTAAATGAAATTATTCACGGAATATTACATCTTATTTAAGCTTAACCGGTCGTTTTATTTTTTTTCCTATAATATATCACATACATATATACATATCTGTATAGATACATATAAATACATAACAAAAATAAAAGCGCATCCGAAATTTTAGAAGTTTTATTGCGTCAAACAACATTTTTGAATTTTCTTATTATAGAAAATAATAATAAAGAGTTACATCCTCTTTATTTTTAATGACATCCACAATTCTTTGAGGCATAGTTTTTATTAAGTTCTGACAAAATTCTAATGTAAACGAATCCCATATTTCTTGCAATTTTTTAAATCCCATTGCGAGTGAGTCCAATCTTTATGCTCTTTTGAACATCTTAGTTTATTTTTCTTTTGTTGTACAAAAAGGCACCTCAAATTCTGCGGCGTTTAGGCCAATTTTTCTGAGGTGGTCCTTGTCCATCCTCCGCTTGGGCCGAAACTTGAGGTGAACATTGCTGTTCATCCTTAGCTCCGGCTTCAGGCTGAGGTGAACGTTTTGGTCCAGCCTCCGGTTGGGTCGAGATTAGAGGTGAACGTTGCTGTCCATCCTCAACTGCGGCTTCAGACTGAGGTGAACGTTTTGGTCCAACCTCCAAGCTGAAATTAAGTTTTGGATTTTTTTGTTTTGTGTATTTATGTTGTTCCCACGAGTAGCTAAGAAAAGGTTGGTCGCCCCTGGCAGAGCCCCGCATTACCAGGGGAAGGCTTTATACAATGGGATTTGCCTGGTTTCTCAAGGGGATCGTTCACGACAACATAAAACCCTGTAGCCATACAGCTATCGGCACGATTACCTCACACCTTAGCTTGGGTAGGCTGCTTCTTGGTCGCTGAAGTAGTTTATCCATTCCTAGTCTCCCGAATACCTAGAAGAGATCCGCAGATACCCCAGAGAGCTATGTGGTGACAGGAACTGGTCTAGCGTAGTTGTGTCACATCTTTCTATACTTCCCATTCACCAGGCCTAGCCCGTTTATAGGGGGTACCTTCATTCAGCGGAGAGCTCCTTATTAGGGACATCCCATTTATTCACACACACATACCTGTTCCACTTTCTATGCCAAACTACAGCCCTATCTAAACAGTCAGCTTAAGGTTCCGAACCTACGTCAAGGTCGTGCAGCCCCTATCGGAGGATATAGTATGTCTTAAACTATTAAACAATGAAAATTTAGTTTCCAAACAAACAAAACACTGAATTAACTAATCATATTTATTTAGCATAAAACAAAATAATGATACTTAGTTTGCACAAGCAAACGCTGCCTATAGCTTTACAATAAAATGAAATGATACTTATGGTATCGATGGATTGCTTGCTTCTGAATATAATGTCGTTTAGCTGTAGCTTCAGCTGCAGTCTCAATAAATTTATTTCATTAGTGGTTAGTCCATGGTTTTATTTAATAAATTACCCCGTAAACTAGAATATAACACAGGCTGTATGAGAGAGACATCAAAGGGTTAAGTTCCTTGATAATTATTTTACAAAATCACAATTAAACAAATAAGATGGCAAGGATAAAGTGAAATAGAATTCTTATTAAAATTAATTAGGTTTTGTAGGATTCCTACATGAATAAAATCGAAAACGTGACTTTGGAAGAAGTGAAGTTATAAATATTGACAATACTGTCAGAATTATAAAATATACGTTACAATGAAACATCGAGTTAGAATCTATGGAGAGTGCATCACGTGACTAAAAACGACCTAACTTCGGCCATATTGGTATTATTGTTTTGAAACTTTTGACAGATCGTATATGTTTGCTTATGTTTGTTTTTTTTTCGAATATTTTCAAATTTTATAGAAACTGTAATATATTGTGATAGTGCATAATAATGGTTTCTTGTTCTCAACGTAGTTGCAGTAGCAGAAGTAATGTTAATAAAAAATCTTCAGGAATATCGTTCCACAGGTTAGTATACAAATATGTAAACAAAGTAATGGCCCGTACTTCAGAGAATAAATTAATACTATTTGACTGTATTAATTTATCTTTATATATAATATATCGTGTTTTTAATGTTTACCGCGGGATAAATAAATCATAGTTTATTAAAAATGTATTGCACTTTTTTAGATTAGGATTAAATCTTCTGAATAACTAGTCATATTTGTATAGTAGTTTTATTATTATTGAGTCTGGCCCTGATGTCACCGCCATATTGGTATTATAGTTAGCGACTCCTACCTATGCCGTTTTTAATACATACGTTAATATGCTCATAGCTTCTCCATAGATTCGAACTCGATGCAATGAAAGGACTCACCCCAAAAAGATTTCTGCAGACCATAAAATGAACCCTATTTCATATTTCTTCTTTTATAACTTTCAACTACACACAAAAAAATATCCTACCACGTTAGAAAAGCTGACTGACTGAAGTAGTGGTGGAGAGTGACTACAGTGAAGTATAGCACAGATGCCATAGAACATATTATGTGTATGATGGAATTAGCTCTGCTGTAAAAATAGAACAGAATATTTAGTCTACCGGGTAGAAAGAGAGAGGCCGCCAATTATTTTTTGAAGAAAAAAATAGTAAAAAAGAAACTAACGGTTAAGGAATTAATACACTAATACAGAAATTAAAATAAAATAAATATTTAAATATAAATTAATAAAGATATGACGTTTATAACGTTATAAAATACATGTTTTCAGAATCTATGTAGACCTAATAGTTTACGCATAATAACGGAATAGATAAAAGCTTTTTGGGATAAATAACCTTAATTTTGCAATAACGATTAAATGAAACGTCTTAAAATCTTTGAAGCTAAATATTTGTAATATTGATAAGTTATTATTAATTTTCAAAAAATCGGCTTTTTAAGGCTATTTTTGCAATGATTAAGCAACAGATTAATAAAAATAACTGTGCAAAGTCTAAGTTTAAAGCATTTACTCTTACCAATTGGCGAACTTTTTTCTATCCATTAGTTTACCTCAATAATCCTTGACTTTTCTGCTTCGTCATGATTTTGATCCGTAAAAGCCTTTTAGTTTAATGATTATGAGTATGCCTCATTTGTTTATAAAGACTCTCATATAAACGAAAAATTACCAGAATTTAAAAATAACTAATAATCTGTGCATAAAGTCATAAATTAGCAATTACATCGACTAATCTAGGTTAAACGAAAGTAATGATAATTATTATACACACTAAATTATTTATACACAGATAATATTTACACCTATTTTGGCGTGATAGTAATTAAAAAAAGAAATGTAATGTAATATATTCTTAGATATGTCACTAAAAGCAGTACTTTTATGTTTGCTTTATTGCTTTTTTGTGAACAAGGCTGAAAGTAATCTTAATAGTACTGCGACATTAAGAGCTCTTATCAGAATACCTTTGCATATTATTCATACTGTCAAACTTCTGCTATTTCCTGGAAAAAAGTAAGTATAAAAATAACCTATTTATATTTTTATTCATTTGGATTCATTCATTAGTTAAATGGATATCACGCTAGCGTCATTTTCTTTATATAACTTATTTTTGAAAAAAAAGTATAATTATAATAACAATTTCCAAATTAAAAAGTATTAAACTTTTTTTCAAGATAGTTTATATTTCATTATAATTTATGTATAATCTTATAACATATTTACCGTTAATTTTGCTATGACCAATGTGAATATAAAATCGGACGAACACACTGTAACACTAAAATAAAACGCACGGTCCGTTTTTATACATAATTTATCTACTGTCTCTGTTTGTAAAATTGCTTCTTTAACCCTAGATTACCGGACTTGTTTAGCCGCACGTGATTACCGGACTATCGTAAATTTGACTACCTATAAAAATGCCTTGTAATTACAAAACCTATATTCAAAATCTGGTCGGTCAGATAGCCAAGCGGGCTGGGCGGCCGGTTTTCATTCGCTTCACTGCAAGTAGTTCAGTGGATGTGGGTTCGATCCCCAACTCGGTATACAGAAAACAAAAAGACTAACGCAGCAGTTTAAAATTCTAGATGAATCTGCGGCTTATATACTTCTATATTACATGTTTCGAATAAAAAAAACGGAGTTGTATAAATTCTATATTTAAAACAAGGCGTGAGGAAGGCTTTTTTAATTTATTAATAATGAATCATTTATCATTAGATGAAGAAAAATTTAAAAGTTATTTTAGACTGAATAAAACACAGTTCAATTATATAAACAATTTAATAGAGAAGGACATACAAACGAAAGGCGACATAAAATCAAAAGAAAAATTATCTTTAACTTTAAGGTACCTAAGTTTTATATCTTAATACTAAAAAAAAATATTAATTAATTTTATAATGAAAAAAGGGAATTGAAATAGTCTCCATCATGTTGTGAAGCAGACGTACTACTATCGGTTGCAGAGGCTGATCCAGAGGGAGAAACAACGGATGAAGCATAAATATGTTCGTCTGATGTAGGGGGAGCTGTTTGAATGCTGCTTTCCATATCCATTTGCATTAGTTCATATTTTGTCAAAATGTTGAATATTTCGCTCCTTGCCTGTACTTGAAAACGCTGATTCAATTTTCTCATTATAGATTTAATATGTTGTTCTGATGCTATTTTCTTGTGGCTTTTTAAATTAATTACTATTTAACTGGGTATAAGCCACAATTAAAGATAAAAATACGTTTATTGACGTTTCAATTTCCACTTCGGAAATCGTTCTCAAAATACAAAAAAATTGTATTTTGAGAACGATTTCCGAAGTGGAAATTGAAACGTCAATAAACGTATTTTTATCTTTAATTGTGGCTTATTCCTTATTAGATTTAATATGGTTGCCAAATGTATCATCAAATGGTCATCATTTCGTAAAAAAACAAACTAATAAATATTTTAGCTGTACATGGTTGGAATTTCTTTTAATAACGATAACCTATATACACTGGAATATTCAATATCTCACTATTGCTAACCTTTATAATTACGTATAGTATTATAAATATGTATTCACAAGAGGTTATACCTTTTAAAAGTAATGAATTAAAAATAAAATTGTA